AACAACTGTGAAGAGGTGGCGCATTCACAATGTCTATGTCATACCCGTTTTTTAACAGTGATCTAATTGTCTCCGAAGCGGCTTCATTATCGCAAAAAATTGTTTTTGTTTGAGGAAACAAATTTAAAAGTTGGATAATAGACATTTTTACATCCATTATCGTGCGAGACGCGATCGGTTGTACAACAGCAAACTTCGAGAACTTGTCAACGCAAGTAAGGAACGATTTTTTGTCTGTTGAAAAAATGTCAAAGTGGAGCCTTTCTCCAGCATATGATGAAATTGGTGTTACCCCAAGCATTTGTTTCTTGGGGTGCCTGTCGTGTTTCGCTTTGGTACATGTTTTGCAATTGAACACCACCTCATTGGCTAATTTTGCCATTTTCGGAAAAGAATAATCACGAAGGATTTGTTTAATATTTTCCTCAGCGGCCCTATGTGCGCGATTGTATTCAGTGATGACAATTTCAGTTTGTTTACCTTTGTTTGTAATGTCGACAACGATATTCTTGCAGTCCCAGAACTTAGTTGCCGAAAAATTTAACACCAAATAATGTTGTATACTGGCCAACATCGGTAAATCGCGTTTACTGAGTTGGTACTTAAGTGTAGGTACAGTAACAATTCGTACTAAAAATCGTTCAAACAACTAATTTCAACAAAAGTTAAAAAAAAAACAGTTATGTAAATTTGTATAACAGCATTATGCTCATCGTTATTGAGTGATTGTTGTGCCGTTATCTATCTTGTGGCGCCACTTAGACGCTGTGACTTAAAAAAGCAGCCAAAAAGTACTCAAACAAGTTTAGGTACACCTCGTTCAGCGTGTCATGTTGTTCTCGATTTTGTTGCGTTTGATTAATTTTTATACTCTCGCAACCTGTTGCTACAGAGTATAATAGTTTTGTTCACCTAACGGTTGTTTGTATCACCTAAAACTAATCGAGTTAGATATAGGGTTATGTATATATCATATAAATGATCAGCATGAAGAGACGAGTTGAAATCCGGGTGACTGTCTGTCCGTCCGTCCGTCTGTCCGTCCGTGCAAGCTCTAACTTGAGTAAAAATTGAGATATCTTTATGAAACTTGGTAGACATGTTTTTTGATACCGTGAAACGGTTGGTATTGCAGATGGGCGTAATCGGACCACTGCCACGCCCACAAAACGCTATTATTCAAAAACAAATAAATTGCAATTGGGGCATCTGCAGTAAACAAAATTTTTAAAGTGGGCGTGGTCCCGCTACTAATAGGTTTAATGTGCATATCTCCTAAACCGCTAATGCAATAATAACAAAATTCACTGGAAGCAAATGTTTTTAGAACCTCTACCTACAGTATGAAAATGGGTGGCAACTCCGCCCACTCCCCATATAACGGTACTGTTAAAAACTACTAAAAGCGCGATAAATCAAGCACTAAACACGCCAGAGACATTAAATTTTATCCCTGGGATGGTATGAGATGAATTTATAGGAACCGCGTTTAAAATTAGACAGTGGGCGTGGCACAGCCCACTTTTAGGTGAAAACCCATATCTTGAGATCTGCTTAACCAATTTCAACAAAATTCGGTACATAACGTTATTTTCATATTTCTATGTTATAGTGCGAATCGAACTACAACCACGCCTATTGCCCATATAACACCATTTTCAATTTCATCTGATTCTTTCACTTTCCACTATGCAAATCAGGCAACAATGACTGTATCGGGATAAAACTTTGCGTGAATAATGCGATTAAAGTATGCCACCTTGTGGCCAAAAATTGTCTAAATCGAACCAACTGCCCCTAAGTATTAAATATGTGGACCCCAGTGCCTATAGTTGACCTTCTACCGAAAATATCAGTCAATCCACAAAGAAATCTCAAACGAGTATACTATTTGACTTTGCGAGAGTATAAAATGTTCGGTTACATCCGAACTTAGCTCTTCCTTACTTGTTTTTTAATATTTTGAGTAAGCCGGACAGAGAACTAAGAAGTGTAAAAGCGTAAAAGTGTTAAAGCTTAGTTGCTGAAATAAAAAAATTGGGCTGCGGTTTACAAATTTCGCTCGAAGTAAGAAAATTAATATTAAAATTATATTTGGAAAATAACACTTTACGTGAAATTGACAACATAGTAGGGAAACGCCATTCAAGTGTTTATAACATTATAAAATCGTATACAAATAACGGAGATCTAAATATAAAACTCAGCTCAGACAGACCTAAAACTTTGACGCCCAACGAAGAACGCAATGCCATCGTTGCAGTTGAACGAAATCCGAGTATTTCAGCAGTAAAGATTACGAATAATCTAAACGTTGAATTTCAAAAAATGTAAATCCTCAAATTGTGAGGAATGTGCTGCATAAAGCTGGTTATTACGGACGAACTGCGCGTCGTAAACCATTCATATCAAAAGCAAATAAGAAAAAACGGTTAAAATTTGCTAAAGCGTATCTTGATAAGCCAGATTTTTTTTGGGAGAATGTTGTATTCACCGACGAATCAAATTCAACATTTTTGGGTCGGACGGAGTAATGAAAGTGTGGAGTCGTGCCAATGCAGAGATGCAAGAAAATAACTTGATTCTTACAGTCAAACATTGTGGGGGTAACATGATGGTTTGGGCTTATATGGCTGTATCTGGCGTGAGTAATTTGAAGTTTATTACAGATAAAATGGACAAATATATATATCTGAACATTTTGAAGGAAAATTTGCGTCCAAGCGTGCAAAAACTGGGTCTCTACAGCAGCCGATTTCTTTTTCAACAAGATAATGACCCAAAACATACGTCGTATCTAGTCCGCGAATGGCTTTCATGTAACTGCAAGCAACTCCAAACACCACCACAATCACCCGACATTAATCCCATAGAGCACATATGGGATTTGTTAAAAAAAAGAATTCGAAAACACAATATTTCGTCTAAGTACACGTTAAAAACCGCTATAGAGATTGAATGGGCCAAAATTACATAGTCTGACACTCAGGTGCTAGTAAAAAGCATGCATCGGCGTTTGCAAGCAATAATTAAAGCTAAAGGGGGACCAACAAAGTATTAAAATTACCATATGTTTTCTGTATCAATAATTTTTTAATTCACTTCACCAAATCTTTTTTGACGTGAAATTAATGGATCTGATGTTTTTGTCTGATTTTAAAAGAAATGCATTCGCTACTTTAATTACCAAACAAAAAATTTACTTTTTAATAATTTAAATAAAAAAATTAGAGGTTTATTAGAGAAAATGCCTTTGTACCTTAACTTAATTGATTCACTGTAGGTAATTTTGCAATTTACCCAAAGCCCAGACAATGGCTAACAACTCCCTTACGTTTGTGGCATAGTGCGCTTCGCTTTGTTTTAGCGTTCGCGAAATCATGGTAATTGGTTTGCCTCCTTGAGACAGAACCGTACCTATGCCGGCCAATGGAGGCGTCAGTGGTTAAGTCAAAAGGCTGTTTGAATTCTAGGTACACGAGAATAACATCTTCGGAAGCCAGGATATTTCTCAAACTTTCAAAGGCGCTTCGTTGAATTTCATTAAACAAAATTTTTACCTTTTTGGACATATGATTGCTCATCGTGGTATTTTCTCCTTTGAGAATATTGGTCAAAGGCCTTGCTATTGACGCGAAGTCCTTAATGAATCCCCTGTAATAACTAATTCCCGTATGGCTCTAACTTTCTCGGGGTCGGTTTTTGCCCCGTTTTTGGTTACTACAAAGGCAAAAAGCTTCGCTTTCTCTTGTGATACTCTCATATTGGCATCGCATAAGCATTTTTAAATTGTGTCGATATGCTTCATGTGGTCGAACTCATTTTCCCATTATGTGTTCCATATTTGAAATATTAGTGTTATATTTAAAGGTACGGACTACCAAACAAAATTTCAAATTAGGTGTGCTACTAATAAGTTATGTGAAAACTTACTAAAAGTTAAGCTTTTTATTATTTTATATATTGCATTTGAATTGCATATTTATGTCTTTTTAATGTGTAATGTCTTTTCAATATTTTATCTTCACCAGAGAAGTAGATCAGTCGAATTTGAGGTTATCAATGACATTAGGTTCGATGACATATGCATGAATGCATTTAAAAACGTCTTCAAACACGTTTAATTTATTATTTAAATTTGTAATCTATATATCTAAAAGTTATAAAAATTTACCTCTTTCTTGCAAAGGATAAAAATAATTTTCTAATTATTATCGAATTTTCTTCATAATTGATAATAAATTTAACGATTAATACTTTTTACCGTTTCCGTAATTTTTATTTTTGCGTTAACTACTTAGTATAGAATAGCGAATAGAACAAACGGAGAAGGTATTCCTTTCGCATTAGATTTCTTTGTTCCTATCGAATATACTTAGGGCTGTTTTCTCAATGTTAAGTTCTGGTAAACTTAACCGAAAGAAGGAGTACTGGTTAGTTTCTAAATGTCTAAATGACAGCCGTCAGCGGTAAAATTTATGAACATAGATGGAGTTCAGAAGGCGATTCTTTTGTCGCTCGTTATCATTATATATTAGGCATATTTGCATTCAAATATACAAAAAATTGTAATAACTTACGGTTATGTCAGTTAAAGCTATTATCCAGTTAAGCACGAGCGGTTAAGGATAATATTAACCAGACATTGACAAAACGTCCCTTAGTTGATTATCTTAATCATGGGAAATGTGCAATCTCGATAGCATAACTTTGCGGCACCGTTATAATTCGCCCACAATTGGGTTAATTCATCCAATTTCTTCGAAATATTAACAAAGGGTCTAAATGACAAAAGAAATATTCGCCGAAATAACAGCTCTTGGCCGCATTAAACATAAAGATACATAGCCTTCCTCAAATAAGTTATATCGTCATATGTATCCGATTTTATAAGTTAAACGACTCATCATTTAGATCCTACCACTGGATTGATAAACCCAATAAATTGTATCGCAAATCTTCTTTATTGCAGATACTTAAGTAAACATTATTTTGTACTTATCCAATGCAATTTCCTATTTCATTCACATAAATATACTGCTTTCCTATTCTACTACTAATATTTAAAAAAAGTGAAGTTCCAGCGGCATGTGAATTCACCCTTATAGACTTTAGTAGTTCTAGGGTCACACCTTTCGCAAATTGTTATCGAAAAGTTCTTTATACGAATCTCGAATTGCGGTCTCTAAAAGATACCGCTATATCGGTCTCTTTCTTTTATATTGAATTCGTATTTGGCATTCTCTGCACAATATTGTTAGTGAAAGTCCTTTATTCTCGTATCTTTTGAGCAACAATTTAGTTAACATCGGGGATTCCCATTAAACTGCATTTAACTTATGCTTGATAATCAACAAGTGGATTTTATTTGAATGCAGTCTTCTTAAACCTATTTACAATGCCGGGATTATCTTGCGTTATTTGTTCGGAAATTTATAAAGATAGTGATATTCTATGTAGCACATCTTGTGGGCACGTCTTCCATTTTCATTGTATGCAACAATGGCAATCGCGGTATGTAGTTATTCATGATTAAAGTTGAATATGTTTATAAGTCCTGTTTAAGCGGATGATAAATGTTGTAAAAAATAATTTCATGCATGTCGGTTATCGAAATTCCAAGATTGATGTATGTATAAAGTAAATTCGAAGCGCCGATACTGGTTGTTAGCGTTATTTGTCAGACCACATATTCATGTATTTGCTTGCTGCTACAGAATGGAAACTTTTGGATCAACCCCGGATAGAGGAATTCCTCCTGATCAAGAATATATAAAGATATAGCTGCCGGAAATTTATAGCTTTATTTAGATATTCGCGTTTAAAGTTGAAAATTTTAACTATTTAAAGAAATACGTTCGATTTAAAATGAATTTTACATATGTATTTTTCACTTTTACATCCACTCACACTTCACTTATTCTTTTGTTTACATTTATTTCACACTATATAGTACGAAAATAGCTTTAACTCAATATTTAACTTATGGTTCAATTATGTTTATTCACAAAATAACAAAACGGTTGCATACTGACATAACCCTGGTTGATTCAACACCGAGGAAAGTTTAAAATTCAACTATTTAAAGTACGTGTTTCTTTGATTTATAATGAATTTTACACTTATATTTTAAACTTTTATATTCACTAACACTTCACTAATTCATTTCTACACATTTTATATTAAACAAGTAAGAAAGTTCTAAGTGCGGGTGTAACCAAACGTTTTAAACTCTCGCAACTTGCAAGGATCAAAGCCCGCGATATTATGTCAGGTGTTGGCAAAATTTTATATTAAAGGAAGTATTAATCCGATTCAACTCATTTTTAACACAAAGACATAGTATTATCGAGAGTTTCATTTAAGAATTTTATTATATGAATTTAAATTATATATCTTACACATTGACTGATATTTTCGGTAAAAAGTCAACTATAGGTACTGGGGTCCACATATTCAGTACCTAGGAACTTGAACAGTTTTAGTTCAATTTAGATAATTTTTGGTCACAAGGTGGCATACTTTATAAATAGATAAAATTTAATGTCTCTGGCGTGTTTAATACTTGATTTATCGCGCTTTTAGTAGTTTTTAACAGTACCGTTATATGGGGAGTGGGCGGAGTTGCCACCCGATTTCACCCATTTTTACAATGTCGATAGAGGATAAAATCTTTTGTCGTCAGTGAATTTTGTTATTATAGCTTGAGCGGTTTAGGAGATATGCAATTAAACCTATTAGGGGATGGGATCACGGCCACGCCCAACATTTTTTTTTTGTGGAGCTTAGTTATGGCAATTTATTTGTTTTTGATTAATGGAAGTGGAAGTGGTCTGATTACGCCCATCTGCAATACCAACCGTCTTACGGTACCAAGAAACATGTGTACCAAGTTTCACAAAGATATCTCAATTTTTACTCAAGTTACAGCTTGCAGTCACCCAGATTTCAACTCGTCTCTTCATTCTGATCATTTATATATATATAACCCTATATCTAACATAACTAGTATACTCTGTAGCAACAGGTTGCGAGAGTATAAAAATGCAAACATGAATTTAATTAAACTTTTAACTTTTTTTCAATTCTATTTAGGATTAGGATAAAAGGATTGCATTCTAACAAATTTACAAAACGGTTGCATTATAACCAATTCCAAATAATGCCTAACTGTATCAACCAGGGTGTTTTTTTTACGCGGCAGAAAGCAAAGCCGTTTTATCAGTACCCGATTAATATTGTCCTTAACCTCTTGTAACTTAACTGGATGATAGCTTTAAGGGGTTAGGGGTAGTCAGAGGCACGAAAAAATGAGGAATTTCAGTAATTTTTTTTTGCTATTAAATCATGATATTTTACAAAAGTAGTAATATGGCATTATTATACCATGTTTTGACTTGAAGTCAAAAAAAAAAATTTTAATTTCCAAAGTTATAGTTGTTTGTGTTGCCCCAATTCCAAACAAACGTCCTGGCGGTGACCATCATAATTCCTTGGAGATTCATCTATATCAATTGGATAAAATAAATTAGTTTTATAAATAGATAATCCTGGGCCTGATCGAAGCTTTTTTTTTTGCAAAAATTAACAAAATGGCCTCAGGAATTTTTTTCTAAATTTTTGGGGAAAAATCCTTTGATCAGGCCCGAGTTCATTATGTATTCTAAAAGCTGTATAAATTTCATTAAAATCTACTGAGCGGTTTTCGAGTTACAGTTGTCACCAGTTCAAAAAACATAGTTTTGAGAAAAACGCATTTAAAGTTTCACACTAGAACCCCCGAGCGCTTTGAAGTGCCCGAGCGCTCTTTGTTATTTGTCGAATAACTCAAAAAGTAATTATCGGATCAACTTGAAATTTTCATAGAATATAATAAATAGATAAAACAAATATATTGTTTGAAATTCTGACTACCCCTAACCCCTTAACTGATAAAACCGTTTTCACTATGTGGTTAGCTTCAGACAGTTTAATTATTGTGAATAAGTGTTGAAAACAGTTCACAAAACTTGCATTCTTAACACGCAAAAACTGTGTAAACATCATGAGCCATGTGTAGGCATATTCAGAAAAGGACTACTTTTTTCGCCGAAATCGGTTTTCGTAGGTGATGGGACGACGAGGAAAGACAATCTGTTTTTCGTAACAGCTCGCTGCTACGCAATTCGGTATTCCTTTTCATTTTGAAATTTCTTTCATGGTTGCAACAGCACTCGGTTTCAAAGGAATATTTACATTATGTTCGAAAATTAAAATGTCTTTAATTTTTGGCAAAATTACGTTTTCATTTGCGCCGCGATCTGATGGTATGGACGGATAAAAGAGGTCCTCAGGGTTAAAAAATTACACATATACGCGCCTCAGACCTATAATTTTCGAGATATTTGTACTTAAAGTTCAAAAATTGTAGGTAAAAGTAATGCACGCTATTACACTATGTTTTACACACTTTGTACACATTTTTCAGTGAAAAGAACTATGAACATCCAGGTGTTGAACTGACCATATTATTTTTTTTTTTGAAGCGCGACCGAGGGCCTCCAATGCTGAAAGGAGTTCGACGCAAAATAATATATAACTTATCTGCCCCAAGTATTTGGAGATGGTTAAGTGGTTAGGAAAATGAGGATACCACAGCAAAATTTAAACCACTGTGCTACAGCACAAGATCTACTGAAACAGAAAATATTTTAAAAACACAAAAAAAACATTCATGTCGCCCTACTAAGCGAGCAATACTCCCAGCGTTCGGAAAGCATCTGGACCACATACTTATCTGGCAAGGCTACAATATGATCATGTAAAGGCCAACCTTTTATAGTTTCTTCCAAAGTCCATAATTGTTTCACATGTGCAAATATACGTGGCATATACTTTGTTAGTTGCTATGCTCCTCCCAGCGCCTCAGTTATAGAATTTAAAGACTTTCTTCCGGAGTTTGCTCGAGAAACTAGAGGAATATCGCTGGTCATAATCGCTCGCGTCGTCAGTGTGTGAGCTGTTTTAAAAAGCTCTGTGAGGAAGAAAACGACTTGGATGTCGAAACTCAAAAATAAGACACAACAACCCAAAAGCACATCATTTATGAGGAATATCCNTTAAAAATTATCCCCAATACATTATCCGATTTCCTATGCTAAACCACGAACCGAAGGTGTAGAGTCACCGCTACTAGTTAATGAAGAAGAAGTATTGGCGACAGCGGGAAAAAATAAAAGCAGCAAAGCGCCTGGTATCGATGGCAAACCATCTCTTTGCATTCTCAACAAACCCAACTCATCTAACACCCTTTTCTCTATGGTCCGACCCCGTCGAAACAGCCTGTATCTTGGACCTCCCGTTAGATGACCTCGACGACAACAAAACTATCACTTATCATCCAAGCGGGGACTAGATAACCGTTACAACAACAACAACAACATGGAATACCAAATAGAACCTTAAAGGAAGGCAAAAATTGACTATGAAATGCGTGTTTAAAGGAAGGTATATTGCCCAATCCATGGAAAGTTCAGCGATTGGTCCTACTTCCCAACTCAAATCAGCCTCCGCAGGAAGCCTTATCATAACGACCTCTGTGCATGCTTCACACGATTGGCAAAGTGTACGAAAGCCTAGTAAGAATCCGCATAGAGTTAGCAATCCAGAAAGCCGGCGGATTATCAGAAATACGGGTTTGTAAAAAAGAGGTCCCCTATTGACGCACTAAACAATGTCGTTTACACTGCGAAATGCGCAGTAGGTGCCTTCAACTCGGCCAAAATACGCGCTCCTTAATATCTTGTAAACATTATCATAAAGCCGATAAATACATCGCATACGCCAACGACGATATAGTGGTAGCAGTGGCTAAACACCTAGTTGCAAAAGAAAAGTTGAAAGAATATCGCTCCCAATAGGGGAGTGAGAGATAATTTCACAACTACAGCTGAAGTATCTGGGAATAATATTAGACTCAAGGCTAAAGTTTAAGGAACACCTCGAATACTCTGTAGATAAAGCGAATAAAATAAATAAAGGTTGCGTGCGTTCCAGCCGGCGATTTTTACTCACAAAGGTAATGAGATCGGTCATGTAAATAAACGCAGTTCATAGGCTGTCGGCAATAAGAGTTATCAGTGCGTTCCGAACAATATCCAGTGAGGCTGTTGAAGTAATAGTCATTATGTCGCCCATTGACATCCAGGGTGACGAATTCGCGCGAGTATACAAGTAATCAGAGCCATCTAAAGAAGCCAAAAAAGTAGAGATAACCAAAAGCATGACAATGTGGAAGTAATGGTAGCAAACCTCACCCAGAGCACGCTGGACGCACAGACTGATACCCGACATCCATTCGTAGATAAACAAACGACATGGTTTCCTGAATTTCAACCTGATCCAAATATTAAGTGTACATGGGTACATGGAGACTTAAAATGTCATGTCACTCCCACGAAGTAAAAATTAATCTGATCAAATAATTTAAAGTACATTTATTTTCTTAAAAAACGCACAATAAATCCATTTTTTGGATTTATTTCAACGTATACAGTATAATTGCAAATATATTAATTGAAAAAGGTGTGCAAAATGTGTTCAACATAATGAAATAGGGTGCATTATTTTATAACTTTAAATAAAATATCTCGAAAACTATACTATCTCGGGCATATGTGTACACATTTCTTAATCTTGATTACCACCTCTATCCGTTTATACCATTAGATCGCGGCGCCAAAGAAATCGTAATCTTGTCCTGTTTAGTGTGTAATATGCATATGCGAGGTATGTTCAAAGGAAAAGCTGAATTTTAATTTTTCGCGGGCTGTGTACATGCGATTATCTATATTTTTCTTTTGTTATAATTGGACATATATGTTTATCATGTGCTTGCATTAGCAGCCAATTTCGATTAGTAGTTTGTTTTTTTTCAACAGAAACACACATTTTTGTGTGCTCTTCGATTTTTGACTAAAGAAGTGTTAAAAGAAATGATTTAAAGAATATGTATTAAATGCTAATTACACTTGTGTGAAAAGGGTGGGGAACAGTAAAATATACCACAGGTACAGTTGAGAAGTTCTCCATGCGCACACACTCTCAAAAAGTAAATTATTTGAACGTGTACGTTTGCCGACACAGTGTGCTAAATTAACTAAAATCGGTTCAGTAGTTTAGGAGTTAACCTCAGAGAAAACGTGACGCATAAGTTTTATATATGTATGTCGTGATATGAAGTTATTAAAGGATACACAAGGCTGTATGAATTTGCCGTGTTCAGAGTCTTGTTTCCCTCTTTTCGTTTATTGTACGAGTATGCCATCTTTTACCTTCAAGTTATATTGCATAGAAGTTTATGTGGCAAGAGCGTGTTCAACATATACTCTCTAACAGAAGAATGAAGGAACGAGATAAAAATGCTCTGTGGCTGAACGTAGTCCTGAGTGTTGCTGAATGTGAGCAAGGCCTAGATGTTAGCCCTTGAAAATTTGTGGGAGCAAGACACAGTGAAGAGACAGTTGAACAATTAAATTCGCTTGTATAAAAAGTCAGTAATTTTTCAATTACTGTGTGTCCTCCAGCCATGGATGACATGATACGCAACTCTTTGATTCGAGAGAGAGAGCTGTCAAAACCCACATTTTGTATAACTTTTGTCAATCATGCCACCGTCGAGAGATAAAGGATAGAGTATTTTAAAAATAACTTTTTGGCATTTTACTTTTCGATATTTCCGAGTAGACCTATAGCATATATACGCATATAAAGCCCTAAACACGTGTATTCATGTTATAATTTTTTTTTATTTAAATCATATAACATAATAAAATAATAAATAAATAAAAAAAACTATATCAAAGAAACAATACAATTCATAATAAAATATCTCTATCTATATAAATATTTTGACTTTATAACAAAGAATAGCAAACAAAATTTAGTTGCACGTTATTCAAAAGTATTTGTGTCGTTCCTTGAACTTTCGTTTCGCACTGTTTTGTCATATACTTTTAGCGGTTTTATTTCTGGCATCCCACCTTTTTTTGAAATCAGCTGTTCAAAATTCCCTAATCATCCTAATCTGGGAAAGAGATTGAGAAAAAAAATTGAGAAAATTAGTTAGTCTAGTATCATGTCATCCTTGACACAGCACCACAGGAATTCGTTGAAAGATACCACCTTGAGTGTGACGCTTAAATGTCAAGATGGACGACTATATTTTAGAAGCGAACCCGTCATCAGAAGTGGTTCTGTACCCTCCTACATTTTCAGAAGAGCAGTGGCGTAAAATCCTCGAGATGCAAAATCGAAATTTGAGTGTGTTAGCAAAAAACTATGCAGGATACGACACGTGCACGTGCTGTCACGTTGCCTAAATTTAACCGCGACGTTACGGGCGTTGACACATCACAGTGGTGTATGACCGCTGATATAATTTCTTCCGAGCAACCTCCTGTGGGAGGGGTTAACACAAAATTTCTACCCCGGAATTAAGTGGGAACAGTTTACAGAATTGTTCATAGAACGATACGAAAGCGAAGAGACACCAGCCGTCCGACTTTCGACGAATGTCATGCAATATATGCAAGTCTTTTGGTGACGTCATTAACAACGAAGTGTTATTCGCAGTATCAAGTATGCCTGCGCATATGTCAAACTTTGATAGTAGGTAGGGTAGGTTAGGTAAAGTGGCTGTCACTCGACACACTTAGGCCTTTAGGAGGCCCATTGTGATACCACTGGGACTGTGATCCCCTCACTCTATTGGCTCCTCTCTGAACCACCCCGTACTTTTGATGAACTTCATCAGTGAGACAAGTTTTATCTGTGCAACCTCCGAGACGTCATCAAGAAACCCACGACCGATGGTTGCGATTCTTTCCTATATAGTGCTGCGCAATCGCATAGAAGATGTTTACTGGTTTCTCCTCTTCTACTTCCTGACAGCTTCTACAATAGTCGTTATATGGCGTGCCAAGTCTACTTGCATGTCTGCCTACTAGACAGTGGCCTGTTAGTACTCCTACGAGAGTTCTATATCATTCTCTTGAATTTAACAGTCGGTTTGCCTGCTAGTTGAGCAGGTCAGGGATTGATTCCACTGACACTCGGCTTATTAATGACATGTTTGTCGATTAGGTATCTAAAGTAGCCAGAGGCATATTTATGTCCTCCTACCAGGATCTAGTTGTAGGGTGGTGCCTGTTCTGGCTAGTTCATCTGCTACGCGTTCCCAGGGATGTTCTGTGTCCTGGGACCCATTGCAGATTTACCGTGAATAGGATGAAAGATCCGCTAGAAGATCATGGCAATCTTTTCTGTCTTCGACGAAATCCTGTGAGACATCAGAGATTTTAAAGCGCCCTGGTTGTCGTGTTATATATACACTTCTGTTGTGATTACACTTTTGTTAGTACAAGAAGGCTTTCTTAATTGCAGTGACCTCTGCTTGGAAGACACTGCAGTGGTCTGGTAACCGGAAGGCGATTTTGGTATCTAGTTTAGCCGAGAAGACACCGCCGCCTACTCGGTTATCCAGTTTGGAACCATCCGTATAGAAGCTTATCCCTGCTTCCTTGTCCACTACGTCCCTTTCCCACTCCTCTCTGGAGGGGAAGGCAATATTGAGGACCGGATTTAGGTTCAGCTCCATAGGATTGCGAAAATCCGTAGTTAGGGGAAGAAACGGGAACTTTCTAAGTATCATAGAATGCCCCTTGTCGCTGGCGACTAATAGGAAGGATTCCCTCAGTCT